TTGATACCAGCTAACATCAGGCAATTCTGCAACATGATAAAGCAATACTGATGTCAGTCTTTTTACAGAAAAAAAAAAAATGGCTCAAAATCTATTGTTCTTTTACTTCCCTTCTCACCTTCTTAGATAAGTGGAATGCTAGCTTAGTCTCTGTTGAGAGCAGGAGGGAAAATCAGTGATGCTGACAGACCCTTCTGTGTTCAGATTTGAGACCTGTCCCACAATCTTTATTGTGCAGACTTCTGAAATCCCATGGCTACTTGTGGAGCTACACGCAGGCTTGCAGGTCTCTTTCCATGGATTGGCTACAGGAGTAGGACCTACAGAGCTGCTCTCCAGGGTGAAGCTGGGGAAAGGGAAGCTTTTCTTCCCATACAAGAAAGTGGTGGTAAGAGATGGCCATTCTCCCACCAGCCCTGCAAAGTGAATTTTGCTGAACAGCTTTCTGTTTCTGAGAGTATGGAAAATGATACAAAACCCAGTCGGTGTTTTGGTTTATGTTTTTAGTGTTCTGCTTATCCTATGAGGGGAAAATGCATTGGTCTGTGTGCACACAAAGGAAGTGGAACTTATTAATTGCAGGGGAGGCAGAAGTGAGAGTGCCATCAACTTCGATAGCTGTGTTAGAACATAACAAATCACATGGGTAAATCAGACTTTTCCTAAACTTTCAGTTCTGCACAGGTTTACATGAGTGCATCTAAGCTGTTTAGAGAGGCCACTGATTTTGAAAACCAAATAAAGCCCACCTCCTGCTGGGGTAAAACAGTCAAAGCTTATGCATTCCTAGGCATGTTGGTGCTGCTGTTTGTTACTTCAGTATCTGAACCTGTTGCAAACTTTGCAATGGAGAGAAGTAACATTGCTCTTTATTATTCTGAATAACGGGGAAGTGGAGAAATTAAAGAACCTGCCCCACAAGTATATAGACCCAGCTAGCCAGATCTCTGGCACTTCCTCCAATACTGTTGTTTTTTCCCCGGTAAGTCCTCTGTAGCATCTGACCTAATGCAAGGGAACCAAAAAGTGAAACTGTCTAGCTTATTTGTGTGTAATCTGAGAGAGTAACCCAGGGGCATCAAGAAAGGTAAATTAAAGTTTAGAGCGATCTCAGTTCTTACTTGTAGCCTCAACCTTGTATTTTTATTAAGGAATTTTAACCCGACAGTCTGATTGAATTTCTCGGCAGAGTTTTTAGAAATATGTCATTGTTTCACTCTGCTCCATGGCGAAGGTCGGTGTCTCTCCGGGATTGTTGACATTTTGCTGATATTTCATCAAGTTTGGCCCTACCACAGAGCTACCAGAGGTAAGTAATTGAAGCTGGAGAGGTGTACTGTAAGCAGAGTGTGTATTTACCCCCTAGCCTAGGCTGCACCCTGCTTCTTAGTGGTGCTGTGGTGGTACCCCCACCTCCGATTAGTGAATCAGGCAAAGGATTAGGCAGAGCAGGACTTTGCTGCCTGTCTCCAAATACACAGGCACACACACTTTTTTTTTTTTCCCTACCGTGCGTAGACCTCACGAGATGCCCTGATGTATTTGTTACAAGTTGCAAATTGCATGAGTGTGATAGCTGTGACCATGGCTTTTTCCTGTCAAGAAGAAGAGGTGGTGTCCTCATTCTGGGGAATGAACATGCACACTGGAAATTCCAGGTAGTAGCAGATGCCATAAGGTCATTTAACAGTCCTGAAATGTGTATTTCGCCACAGAGTGTGAAAAATTACACCAAGTCATAGCTCGGTGTAATTTTAGTAGA